CCACCGCAGGGAGTTGGAGTCTGGGTTGGATTACTTCTCCCGTGTCCTCCGGCCAGGCCCTCGTAAGAGTCTGCTGTTACCTTGTGGGGATTAGACGCCATCAGAAGCAAAGCCGCTGACTGTTCAACTACCTGGGTGTCAGTCTAGGACATTTACCCTGCGTGTTTGATATAAATAAGAATTAGAGTAATGCTGACTCACAAATTCGAAGTATAAGTCTATCTTGGAGTGCCTGGATGGTCTCTGACTAAATGATAAATTCTTTTGCTAAATTTTAAAAACTCACAGGGCCAGCTTTAAATTTAAGATGTAGGAGACATTTGTCCTCTTCCTAGGTGAGATTTAGGAAACACCTGTCAATTTCCCAACACCCTTTTCATCTCCATTTCCCAGGATTCTTAGTGTTTATGTATTATCCTTCCAAAAGTAAATATTAAAGCTTCTCGTCCCAGAAACCAGTCAAATTCCAGGCATAGGTACTTTGTACAATGACACATGCTATTAGTGATCACCTTCCCTAGTTAAACACATCTCTGGCTCCATAAAGAACTAACAGATAGATACTAAGATTTTAATAATACTGATAAAGTTGTTTAACATGCTGAAACCAAATAATGACATTTATCAAATCTAATCATAGTACTGGGTGGAACAATCTGGTCCCCAAATGCATTATCTCCTGGAACCTCAGAATGTGACCTTATTTGGAAATAGGGTGGATTCCAGATGTAATTAGTAAAGATGAAGTCATACTGTATTCGGCTGTGTGTTAAACCCAGTGACTGGTCTCCTTATAAGAAGCCATGTGAACACAGAGGCAAAGATTGGAGCGATGCAGCTATAAGATAAGAAACAGCAAGGAAGCTTCCATACACTAGGAAGAGGTACAAAACGATTTTTTCTCAGAGCCTTTAGAGCAAGCCTTGCTCTGCAAACATCTTGGTTTTGGACTTTCTAATTGTATGAGAATAGTTTTCTGTTGCTGTCAGTCAAATCAGCGCAAATGTGTGTATTCTTATCTCTTCTTCAATGAGACCCAGCAATCAAATTGTTGGTAGATAAATCAAGGAGCCCAAACTTGAGGTCAGAGATCGGAGTTCAAATTCTGGCCTAGTGAGCACTCGCTATTGAACTTGAGCAAATCACTTCACTCCTTTGGGACTCCGTTTCCTCTTTGGAAAATAGAAGAGATACCTGATTCACAGAGATGGAAAGGAATAAAAGCATTGTATGCTGGTTTGGTGTCCCCGCCCTCATGTGTCGAGATAGCTGCTTTATCCCCTGAATGATTTTCACATGTTCAAAGCAAGCTTAAAACTCTGTGTGCAATCACAAAACATAAGCAGTGAGCAACGTCATGAAAATGCAATTCCATATTAAATTCCATGGCCTTTGCAGAGAAAAGAGAAAAAAAAGAAATGAATCATGTAGAGCTTATCCCTGGAAGTATAAATTCCCCAGCGGCAGTAAATCCTTCTTGGATGGCCTTTGGTGATGTATTCACTTGTTCACTGGCACACCCCACGCAGATAGTTTATCCTCTTTATCTGAGGCCACAATTACATGGAGGCTGAATCTAAACCATCTGCTGTTCACCTGCACTTGATACACGCCGATGTACTTCTACATACTTGTGAAATGGTGTGAGTCAGTGACAGTCCTAGGCATTCTTCGCTTTGGCCCTCTTGTCTAAGGTTGATGCTTATTCTGTATTGTGCTGAATTATAACTTCCATTGAGTTTGTTAATTCAACACTCCCGTGCAGAAGGAAAGCACTTGATTCTCCTGTCAAGTTATAGACAACATAAACCAGAGGCTTCTAGTGATTCAATCTATCTATAATATTACCACAATGAAACTATGATGCTTTTGAAAGCTGATTTATAATGATCTCTTACAACGATCTCTTTCCTCTTCATGGCCCTAAAAACTCAAACCAAACTCACTGCCATCAAGTTGATTCCAATTCACTATGACTGTAGGACAGGCTAGTCCCCATGGGTTTCTGGGACGGTAACTCTTCACTAGAGTCGAAAACCTCATTTTTCTCTCATGGAGTGGCTGATTTTGGAGTTACCTGCCCTGTGCATGACCACTGCACTAGCAGGGCTCCTAAGG